TTTTTTGGGTTCATTGAGAACATGGTTGTTGTTCAATAATAAAATTATTCCTCAAAAATACAACTTGCCTAATAATTCTGCACTCCCTGTACACTGCTTTGCTAAAATGCCAGTATGAGCATCAGTAACATACCAAAACAACAATGCCTACATCAACCAAAATTTCCAAGACGCCAACAAAGAGGGAACGTAGCTACAAAGCTCACAGTAAGTCACAGCAGTTAATGGTCTACAGAGCTACCAGACCCAACTACCAAGCTAAATTTTCATAACACTATTTTAGTTAAACTTTGCAACTCCTGCTTTTCATACATTCAACAGTTACACTCTGCCACACCACAAGACTCGCCCAGCCATGTGTCCAGTCAGGCCACAAACCCACAAGACTAATATACCAGTGAAACACCAGCCACTGAGTTTATGCTTCCCAGCCCTAGTTATTTAGTACAAGATGATTTTAACCCTAGTCTTCAGACAGATACCTGTGGTGGGTATGTAACAAGTGCCACCTGGCAGTTTGATGCTCTCTGCCAGGTGATTGGCTGTTCACCTGTTTGTCCATGATTTGGACAGGGGGAACAGACTGTGGCATGGTCAGCCTGATGGAATCGGTTCACCTCCAAATAGGGGAAAGCTGTGAGCTGACCCTGTGCAAGACTGGGGCAGAAAGACTTAAAAAGGTAAAGATCAAGAGCAGTAACTAATCATAATCTTAAAGATGTGTAAATAATTCTGGCAGTGTGGAAAGAAATAAGAAACCTGATGTCAGTAAACAGCATTTATAGATGAGAACATGAATATGTTGAGTCTAGTGTGGATGCTTGAAGGTGTAAATGTGAAACACAAACATGGAGTTAAGCCCAAAATGAGTCCTCCTCCTCTCTTGTAAACCACAAACTGAACAGTAATGTAACAACACTCACCTGTTCACTAAAGTAAAACGTCGCTACTTTCTGTCGAGAACAACTACCCGAGCACAGGTAACAGGGAGTAAACCTGTGGGGCCAGACGGAAACGCCTGATAGGACTGTAGTTTCCCGACAGGTCCCTCAGGCTCTTTTCTAATAATAACCAGTTTTTGTTTCCTCCAAGAGACCGCTCACTAGAAGCGATTGAATCAGAAAGGTTCAGGTTTGTTTATACCTGTAAGTCTGCAGTAGATGAATCATCTGTCCTTACAGCACATTTTCAGAGGAGACTGTTACAAGCCCAGGAGTTGATGTACTTTATTAGCTTCCTGTTCTGGTCAAATTGGACTTCATTGTTTATTTAGAGTACAGCAGAGCTGCAGAGAGCAAGTCAGGAGGATGTTACCTGTCAATAACCCAGCAGCAGCCCGTGTTTAGTTTTAATATTGTTACAAAGGAATGTAAATCAGCGATTTATTGGACTGTAAACTCTGTTTTATTGTTAGATTTACCTTTAGGTGAGAGGAAGAAAGTTATAAACTTTTCTAAAGCTTCTAAAGTAGCTTCTGCTTTGCCCATTTAATTGAATCATTAACTGTAATGAAAAGTAACAGCTAACAGGCTTAATATCACTGTAAACATGGCTTGAATAGGATGGCTGCCACCACTCTGGGGTTTGTGTACCTGCTGATTGTGTGTCTGTGTGATTGCTTTCTGCCTGTAATACTTTAACAGCTTAAAGTAAATTCCACTGGCTTTATACAGTTAAGAGACTGAAACGCTGTGTGCAGCTGCTCCTCTCTTCTTCCTCAGATTCGATAACGAAAGGGTCCACCCCAAAGCTGGTGTCTTATATTAAAAACTGTGGTTTGACAACAAAGTCATCCAGTTAAATTGCTTCCAACATGCTGCTACAGGTAACGCTGTAGTGTGAACTCAGCTGAACTGAGGTATGAAAAAGTGAAAATTAAAGTGTTTGCAGCAGCATAACCTGTTAACTGCAAGGTGCTGCATGCGTGACATGGCTGGGGGCTGAAAGTCTGACTCTAGAAAACTTTGTATACTAGGGTCACATCAGAGGCAGCTAATACGGAGCCTAAAAATACAATTTAAAATGTATTATTTGTTATGATGTCTGTTATGAGCAGACAACACCGGTTCACCCTTGAGTATGGAGTCTTTTTATGCTTGAATAATTCAAAGAGTTTACAAAACAAGAAACTTCTCTGAAAATGGTCAGGTACAAGGATTGGACTGAAAATGAGTGAAAAAGCAACTAATAACCGAGACTTGACTCAAGACTTTTGCACAGCAATGTATGAGAAGGTGCGAGCATTTGTCACTGCTCATCGCAGTGACTGAGGATGGTGCTGGGTCTGATGAGCAGTGCGACGAGGTGGTGGCCTATGACACCATTAACAACCACCTATAACACAGGCATGAGATCGCACCTTGGAAGAGTCCCCACTCACACCTTGATCCACGTGACCTTGAACAAGAGGCGAAACAGCTTCATTTCATTTCCATGATGGAGGACGGAAAACCTCCACAGAAAACTCAGGTCGTCTCATTTAGTGAATGTGTTGAATCAGGTCTAGAGAATTCACACAGACAGAAACACACAGGCAGCAGCTTTCTAAAGAACTATATTTACATAATACTCTTGTTTTACAGAGAACCATATCAAAAGTATAAAATACTTACAAAACATCCGCTGCAATATATAAAAATAACATCTATCTTCTCCAGATCATTAGGAAAGGCATACATACAAAAAATATATTTATAGACATTTACACAGAGCCTGTTTACAACATTTAACCCAGAAAACCCCGGGAGACCGAGCGAGGCTGGAAGTCGAAGGCGGGCCCAGGGATTGGCAGCGATTTGAATGGAAACACGAAACCATCCCCGAGCGACCGATCGGCGACAAAAACAGGAACAGCGCTGCCGCGAGGACACGCAAACATGGACAACAGTACAGTAGATAGGACGACCGGGTCACCGCTCCACTTTCAACGTGGCGACCCGGCCGGAGTTCCACCTTGCAGAGAACCGTCAGAATGGTTCATTCTGATTAACGCCGGCGGTGACAACTGTGTGGACACAACGGAAGATTCATCAAATGCAGATGACGCAGTTTGAAGTCTCTGAATGACAGGAACGCCAACGCCGCGTCCCCAGCACGGAGTCTGAGCAACCTGACCGAGCCCAACGACTGCAGGGATGTTTAGTTCACATTAAATTTCTAGCTTAAAACAAAGCGTCAAACTGTCACATGGAAATGTTTCGATTTTATTTTTATTTACTTTATATTTCTATGTTAAATCACATCCAGGTGAGAACAGTGGGATCTAAATCCCGAGGCCAAATTTTCTTGTACATATGAAGCAGGTGTAAGACGAGGGTGAAAACTATTTTTACTTGAATTCTGCCTTAAATAAAAGGACTGAAATTCTTCAGACTGGCAGGGAATTTTACTCTATCAGCCTTCAGACCACTGTCTGTCAGACCACACACAGGGCAAAATGTCCTCATTAAAGGGCACAAGTTTCCTGTGTTTTCCATGTTTTTCCGCTCAGAAACGCAGCTTTAGAGGTGATGATGGATGATTTCTCTGCAGGTTCTCGCCAGGCTGAATCACAGAATAACATTATGAGTGACTTAAAGGCATCGCGGTTCAGTGCGCCTGTTTGTTTGGACTCTGCGTATTCACCTGGAGGTTCAAGTACTGGACTCCGCGACAAACTTTCCGATTCCTGCTGCTCATTTCCTGGCGGCTTGTTATGTTTTTAAAGGACCATTTCTCTGTTTTTTTCCCCCTCGATTTATGAAATCTGCCGGAATATCTGTGAGCCTCCAACAACCAGCTGGCCTCAAATTTAAAACATGACATTTCATAGGGGGAAAAAAGGCTCGATATACCAGCATCTCATTTACCTAAACAAAGAATGCGCTATTGTTAAGTTATTTAAATGTTTATGGAGAAAATAATTTCCCTACAGTATGAAAATCACCCGGCTCAAGCTGTAAAACCAGAAACAAACACATGTTGATTCAGTCCTAAAAATAAAAAAACAAAACAGACAACCAGCTGAACCCCCCCCCCCCTAAAAAAAAACCAAACAAAAAAACAAACAAACAAACAAAAAAACAGAGGGATGGTCCTTTAATGTGACTTAATGCTAACGTGGCGGTCGAAGGCAGGGACTGCAGGTTCAGTAGTAATCTTACTGCTGTTTTTGTGCGTGCACACAGTTTGTTTGTGTTTACCGTTGACTCGTGTGCAGATGTTTAGATTTACACTCCTGGTGGAAGAGAACGGAAAGTCTCAGAAACCAGTTTAATCAGTTCAGGCTACTTCACAACAATCAGGAAACCTTCAGGCAAAGGATCACAAACACTTTCAGTCTTTATACGGGGAAAAATTAAACCGAGCTTCAACGCTCTGATTTCATTTCCTTTAAAGACAGCTGATCCAGTATCAGGTGGTGGGTTTTTCAGGCTTTGACCTGAATCTCGTCTGGCTGCTCTCGAAGCGCCAGTTAGTTCTTGTCCCGTTCATTAGCAGATATGCTCTTATATTTATCACGTAATGTCCTCCATATGTGCAATAAAAGGTCGAACACCACACAGCAGCCAATGTTTGGCCCACACCTGACTCTGAAAATCAGCATCTGTCTGTTGTGCCAAAGTTAGCTCAGATTAGGCCCAAACACGCCTGCTGTGTGCTCATTTCATTCCATAAATTTAGAAAGTTTGAGGACAGAAGCTGATTAGTGCCATCCTGCAGGGACAACAGCAGCTTAAAAGGTGGCAATCGTTTTAGAACCAATTCTTAATATTCATGTAAAAGTCCACTTTTTTATTTACTCCATAAAAACCCCAATCTGCATTTTAAAACTGGTTTTATTTGTATAGTGCATCCAAGTCCAGAATGGAAGCTCATGTCAGGACTGCAACAGTAATTTTTTTTAAATGTTTTTTTTGAGGACTTTTCTACCAGGAGTGTTTTTACACACCGAGCGCTTCGTTAATCTGCTTATCTGAACGGAGCCTTCGAGGACCGCGTGGAGATGTTAAACGACAATTTTCACTCAAAACGACAATACGATCAGTTTCATAGTGGACTATCCCATCACTCTTATTTTGAAAGGTCAGTCACTGCCCCAGCCGTTCCTGTCGTGTTTCCCACAGACTCGCTCAGCTGCTTTCCAGAGACTCCATCACCTCATCTCATATGGATGCCTGCGGATCACCGCTGATGTGGGCAGATGTTCTGAAGCTGCGGTGAGCTGGGAGGTCATTCCACCTTGAACCTGAAGCAGGTTTAGCGAGGTCACCGCGGCTTCAGAGCAAGAGGACAGCCAGCTGCAGTCCGAACAGTGGGATGAGGAACTTCCTGGAAAGGCAGCTGGTTTTCTTACTCTATTATTTAAATATTTATTGATCTAATGAAGAAAGTGTGGTGTTCCCACCCGTGAATTCAGTCTGATCTGTGGGAAACCCCGGAGGAGCTCAGCTGCACGGATCAGCTGACTCAGCTGAATTGCAGAGCCTCCGAGCAGGAATGTGGCCGCTTACAGGAGCTCTGAACACTGTGTTTCTTCATCGTGCTGCAATGATTCAACGGCCAGTCTGTGTGTGTGCGGTGCTGACAGGCTTCTCTCTGACAGCGTGAGAACGTGACGCGGTCGCCAGCCTTCTGCGACTAACGCTAACACGTGGTGGCAGCAGGAAGTGGTCAGCGGCTCACTCTGCAGGCTTCGTGTGTGTGCGTGCGTGCGTGACACTAGTGGTGGTTGGCGAGCAGTTCGTCCAGGTCGGCCATCCACTCCTGCGTGTTCTGTCCTTTCAGCAGCGAGTCCACCAGGTCGCTCTCTGCGGGGAAACTCCCCGACGCCACGTTGTATCCGAATGACACCTGATGCTGCTGCTGACTCACTGTTTGGCTCACCTGGTATCCTTGGTTACACTGTAGTCCCTGGCGACCGTTGCCTTGCGGCTGTCCGAACGCTGCCAGGTTGGGGAGTACGGCCTGGTTCTGGGGGCCCTGCTGCTGATTGGTCATTGGCTGGCCCTGTCTTTGGGGGTTGGGCAGTGCCCTCTGCTGGGGCGCTGCCATGTTTGTCTGCATCATTTGTTGTCCGGGATTCAGACCACCCATCGGACGTCCACCTGGGTTGCCGCCAAAGGGGGCGGAGCCGGATGGCATCTTGGGAATGCAAGGCTGCTGCTGCGGCGGCATGTGGAAGGCATTGGGGGGGCCGCTGAAGGACAGGCCTGCATTACTGGAAGGCGGCTGGTTGACGAGCTGCTGCTGCCAGGCGGTGCTCTGACCGCCCGGCATGCCGCCCCCCATGTTGCCCTGCATGGAGGCTGGGAGACGGGCAGCTCCGGCCACATGAGGCTGCTTCAACATAGCTGCATTGGGCGGCGTCTTCAGGTGCTGCTGCTGAGGCAGAAGGTTGTGCCCGTACGGAGCGCTCATGGTGGTGTTCAGAGACGTCTGGCGCTGCAGACTGGGTTGCTGGGCCAGGTGGTTGGGGTGCATGCTCATGGTGTTGTAGAGGACGTCCACGCCGGCTCCACCCCCCTGACTAATGTCAGCCTGACTCACTGTCGGGGGCGGGGCTACGCCACCTGCTGGACCACCACCCTGACCCATGTTCATGCTCATCATGCCCTGGTTCTGAGGGAACATGCGGGACCCGGGGGCGGGGCCTCCCATGGAGCTGACACTGCCCATTGGCTGAGAGGAAGCTAAACAAAACCAGAAGAACAGAAGAAAACAACAATCAGGAAAACGTGCGTCAAAATCTTTTTTCAGAGTGGGCCACATAAGTGGGTCGCCCCAGTGAAGCTCCTTAGTCGCACATTTAATCCCTGAGATCTCGTAATAGAAAACATAAAAAGGATTTTGTTTGTCCCCGTAACCCTAACCCTCCTGGAGCTGAACTGCTGATCTGTTCAGCTACTTTCATTTCCCATTCAAATGAGCGGCATTTACACAGTCAGCCTGAACCCACAGAAACCAAACTCACTCTGGTTTCACTTGTCCAGGTATAAAACACAGCCGCTCGGAAACTTTTAGAACAAACACATTTTTAAAGATATTCACCATAAATCTGTGGTCTCATGTTAAATATGAATGAAGGTGAAACCTGTAAGAACGCAGGCTGTGTTTTTATTTCCATGAGGAAACTCGTCACTTTGGAGACCAGACGGTCACGAAATCCTGAACTTTGATAAAAACTCTGCTGGTTTTACAAGGTCCTGATTCTGGCTTCTCTGTTGGCTCCCTGAATGTTTTAGATGTCATTTTAATATTTAATCTTTTGTGTGCTACGACTTTCTGCAGTAACAGATCATACCATTTTTAACGGGCTTTATCCTAAGGCCGGAAAACAGAACGAACCTCTGAGCTGTGGGCATAAACTCTGTCATATTGGAAGCTTCAGCCGCCCGAGCTGCAATCTTACGGTCTTTAACTGGTTAAGGTTTATGTTTGATGCCGAATTTGTTTGTTCTGTGTTTTTTTAACTGGAATTTTCCCATTGGTCAATGATCAACTCTGCATTTTGAACCTTGAAATTATTCTTGAAAAAAAAAAGAAGCATGTTTTCAAAACATTTCATGGTCCGATCTTTCGAAGCACACGCACAACTTATACCCAAGTGTCGGCACTTTGATCCTCCTTCCTCCCGCGGATGAGGAAGGATACCAAACCAAAAAGTCCCATACCAATCCCATACCAAAAAGATGCAGAACACACATTCAAATAACTCCTACTTCCTGTTATGATTACTTAAGTGCTTTTTGGTACTTAATAATTCTGCATTGGAAGGTGTCTGCTTCTTCTTATATTTTGTGGCCTTTGATTTTGTGATTCTGAACTGAATCACAAAGCATTCGTTATGAAATAAATAAAGCAAAGTAATAAAAAAAAAAGTCCCAGGAAAGGCTGTGATCCTGCTCAGGAGCGTTTCATCTTTTTCCACCTTTTTCTTTCAAAAAAAAAAAATCACTTTTTTGTCTTCTGTGTATTCTCCCTGAACAACCACATGGGGCAGTAATGAGCTCATTCCAATGTGAAGAAGCAGTGGGCAGTTTTTTAAAGTTACAGCTCTGTCACAGAGGTATTCATGCCTGAGAGACCTGAGAAATGCATTGTGTGAACACTTCCTGTAGGCGTAATATGGAAGCCCCAAACGCAATTTCATTGTTCTTGACAATGACAATAAATAAATACTATACTATACCTGTAAACTGGTTGGCCGGCTGCTGTGGGTAAGGGTTCTGACTGGCCGTTGTTCCCGACTGGTCCTGGTACTGTGGAGGAGGTCGGGTCAGGTGTCGCTGCCGCTGCTTCTCCTGCACAGACACATGGAGAGGGTTACTGTGTGGGCTTCAGATTTAGGACAGATGCGAGGTGTAACTCATTATCACGTGGCCACTGAAGGTGAGCAGTGCAATGACAATAACGGAATAAACTGACCCTCTCAGCGTTCAAGCAAGTTGTAAATGTTGGAATCACCTGCAAATGAGTCTTACCTGTTCGGCTAAAATCTGCTGCTGCCTCTGAATGTACTGCTGCTGTTTCTGTTGCTCCAGGATCTGCTGCTGATGATGTTGTTGCTGTTGTTTCCTCGCTGCTGCCTCTTTACTGGTCATGTACGCGTTACTGTGGTTACTCGGCATGGCGTTGTTTCCAGGCTTGGCCGTCATGGCGTTTGTGGGCCCCGGGCCGTGTGGAGGAGCGGGGTAGCCGTTCTGATCCTGCAGATGAAGTTTTGTGTTTTGTTACTGAAGAAGAAGCGACACTTTTTTTTCTCTGCTCTAAAAAAGCTTCATGTGACTTTGATAACAGCGTCAGGCAGTTCTTCATGACTCCAGCGCAGAGCTGCTGTCGAGCAAAAAGTTTAACCAGAGCATCTCATAGGTTACCTGCTGCAGCGTTCTCGTTTAATAACTTCAACCACTTGTTGAGTGATCCTTCCATTCAGAAACTTACCGGTCTTGTCTGTATGAAAACAGACAACTGTTTTTCTTTGTAAAGCTCCTGATTTCAGGTCTTTAAAGTGGTGAAGTTATACGGATATTTTTCAGTTGATTAATATTGTGTGTTCATTCGTCTGATTCTATGCTGGGATCATTTAGGTGTGTCCTCAAGTCCTCTTGAAAACAATCTTTATATCTGAAATTATGGAACTTGTCTTAAATGATGTTCTTTCCTGACCAGCTGTCCTTGAACAGCACATTTTACTTTCAAGAATGAAATAAAAGCAAAATAAATTAAAATAAACTTCATCTTGGTTAAAACAACATTTACAGATTAAGTGGGACAGCTTTCAAATGTGATGATCAGAGGGTAGTGATTCTGAAATCCTCACTAACTATAAATGTAATTTTAGTTTTTGACAACACTACTAATTGTTCATTTTTCACTGCACAGAATTTACCTGAAGGCCTGCTAGTGCCCCCTTGAGGCTGAGGAGGGAACTACAGGCTCATGATGGCTGAGAATGCACGGTGCACCCTGAGGGGGGAGCTACAGGAAAGGTTATTCCATTCAGGAAGACGTATCATTGAAATTAGCTGGGAATGTTCATCTTTGAACAAAATGCAGACAGACAGCATCGCAGGAACAGTGTGTCCTGTCTGCTGAGAGGAAAAGTACAGGCAGGAGCGGCTAAATTTAAATACACAGACAAGGACAGAGGGGGGGAGGGTGGGGGTATAAAGTATGAAAGGCTGCTTTGTCATGGCCTCCCTCCCTCTGTCCGTCCACCCCCCCGCTACCATGGGAGGGTTAGCAACCAGCTGCTCGACCCAAACAAACACTAACAAGCTGAACAAAAGGCTGCTGCCCGATTTTACCGCCCCCCCATTCCAATGAGGAATATGGGGGGATTTAAGTTTTTCTGTCAGTGTTGGCTCTAAATCAAGTTCGGATCACGTGTGATGGCTGTGTCTCGTGGGTGCTTCTCACCTGTGGGTGTGGCATATGAGGCCGGTAGGGCTTCTCTTTGCGGCACTGCTGGTGGATGAGTGAAAGCAGGCCCACCTTCTGGTTCTGGTTAGTGGGTCGCGGTGGTCCGGGCCCCGCCTCATAGTGCGACAGAGGTTTGGTGTTGTTGTAGTTCAGCATGACGGCCGGGGCCTGAGCACCTGCTGCCGGCGCGTGGCTGAGAGGCGGCCCTGAAGTCGGGTGACCCAGCATGTTGGGGTGTCCGGCGGAGCCCTGCATGAAGCTGCTGGCACCCGCCTTTGGAGAGGCCTTGTTGGGCTGACTGGATATCACCAGCTGCTTCTGGGCATTGGGATTGAAATCCTGTGAGTAAAGGGAGTTATTTGTGGATTTGTCCATACCAAATGCACTCGCTTGTGAGCTTTGAGAGGTATTGGGCATCTGGGACCATGGAGAGGGGTGGGTGGGGTGGGTGGGGAACTTGGCTCCTGGCTGCTGCTGCTGCTGCTGCTGCATATGTCTGTGGAGGTGCTGGACTCTCTGCTGCCGGACAGCCAGTTCCTGGAGCTGCTGGGCAGGGGACAAGTCTTTGGGCCCCTGAGGGAGGAGGTGGTTGGGTGGAGGCTGGATTTGCCTGGGAGGAGCAGGCTGGGAGGTGGAAAGAGCTGGGGAAGAGGCAGAGGAGGAGGCGACAGGGGAGCTAGTGGGATGAGGAGGAGCAGTCCCGGAAGGCGTGGATCTGACTTGGGGGGAGCCAGTGCGAGAATCCTGCTCGAAGACGGCAGAGGGTGGGGAAAACTCCGCCTTCACGCTCACCAAATCTGGAGGAAGTAAACCCTGGGAAGACTGTCCCCCCCCTCCTGCCCCTCCCCCGACAGCACCACCACCAACCTGAGTGGCTGCCAGTTCCAGAGGGTCTTTGCGGTCCTCAAAGCCATCGTTGAGGATCTCCTGGATGTCTTCGTAGTCCACAGGGAAGTTCAGCTCCTCCATCAGCTCTGTCCACTCCTGTTCGTTCAGTTCAGGGAACAGGCTGTTGTTGCCAACCGGGGGTGGCATGATGGGGAGGATGTCGTCTGGCTCCTGCTTCATCTCTTTCGGATGGAAGTCTGGACCCGGCTCTCTGCCACCGTCTCCCGACTCGCACATGGGCCCGTTAGAGTTGCTGATATCTGGCTTGGAGTCAAGCGGGGAACCGGCGGTAGCGCTGTTGTCCTGGCAGCCTTTCTGGTTCGACGGGAAGCTTTCATAACTGTTGACTTGTCCTCGCAGGTCAGGGGGACTGAGGCTCTCCAGCTTCCTCTTTAGAGTCTCCTGCAGTTGGAATGACAAAAAGAAGCATCAAGAGTTACTCAAAGCAAAACCCCAGACGGTTCAAACCTCAAAGTGAACCTCTGAGTTTAAAAAACAAACAAACACATAATTTACAAAACAAGGATTATTTATATCTGTAAAAAATACATTACTACATTTTATCTGACCCAGACCCAGCATGTTACACAGGGTCTGAATTCTGACCGGCTGACAAATCAAGTTTAAAACAAAAAAAAAAGTGCCACTTTGTTTGGGAAAATAAAACCTAAATCAACGAAAGGCTTTAAATAAAATATTCCAACACAAGGCTGAAAGAGGAGGGCAGGAGTGATTTGGGAATGACCAAGTTACCAAAACCTTTGTTGCACAAAAACAGGATATAACATAAATAATTGTCAATTGTCAAATTGATACTTTGTGGTGCATTAGAAAGTGATACCCTGTTCAACTGCTTCTGTTTTTTGTGTAATTTGAATTCTTTCTCACTTTGGTATCATCACCATCAGTAGGCACACGCGCAGCTGAGCTGCAGGGGGTGTGCAGCAGAGAGACAGGTGCTGCTAAAATCACCGGCAGACCGGCTTACATAAGGATATAAAGGGCAGTCGGCAGGTCTGACGGCTGCGTTCTGTCAGCAGCTCGACTCGCCCGATCGCAGCACGTCAGCTGATCCTCACACTACGCGATTGCCAAACGCTCTGAACACCTGAGGTACCCGTGATGACAAGCAGGCAGGTGGACACAAGCTCCAAAGCGCCTCCTGCTCTGGAAAGTCAAACAACAGTAGCGTCCCTAACAGATTTATTTAAAGAAAAGAAAAAAAAAAAAGATCACACTGCTTTTAAAGGGGATTTTCTTCCTACAACAAGTCCTGGATCAAAACTTCACAGATGTAAAAGAGGCAGGGTTTAGCCTGCTCTGCACCCACTGGTCCAGCCTTTGCTTTCAGATGAGCAGCTTTGGCCTTCCTTTTCAAAAAAAACCCCAAAAACACGTCCTCGCCAAAAAATGCTGAGAATTTCCTGATTAGCCAGAGTGAAGCCAAAGTGGCAGCATCCAAACATTCAGAGCAGCTTATCTCTGACTCCTCAGCTCCTCCCGCGACCCTGACGCTTCTCCCGGAAGCTCTGAAAACAGTCTGAAGGCCTCACGTTCACCTGTGTGGGCATTAGGGCTGCCACGATTAGTCGACTAGTCACGATTACGTCGACTATCAAAATCGTCGACGACTGATTTAATAGTCGAGGTGTCGTTTGAAGCTTTGTAAGATCACAAAAGATGTAGGAATAAGTAGTAGGATTTATGAGTGTAATAACGGATTGAAACAGAAGATGGCAGCACTGCATGTACAAGGATGCCAGCTGCTGTTAAACCCCGAAGAAGAAGAAGCAGCTCTGTCCCAGAATTCATAGCGCAGCCCAGCTCAGTTTCCAACAATGGCGGCAGCTAGTTAGTTTTAATATTACTCTTTTTATTCTTTCTGGGTCACAAAATAAATGTTTAACATATTTTCAGGCGAGAATGTAGCTGTGTAAACTTCAAACATCTGTTCAGTTTATCAAGACACCACATATTTTCAAAAGCGCTCCAACGTTTTCAGAGACGTCTGTTACCCACTAGCTCGATCGCTAGCTGTGGGCAAGGCTCACTAGAGCCGGTGGGAACACCGGACTCCCGGCAAATCGTTTTCAAACCCACCGCCGTCTTTCGCTAATCAGGTTAAACATATACAAATCACTTAGATAACTTAACAATGTTATTGTTTGGATTTTTTTAGTATTTTATTTGTTCCTGAGTAAATCGGTTTGGCTGAGATTAAAGTTATAGTTTTTACACAGCTGAATAAACGTCAAGCAGACAACTGATTATCAGAAGTGTGAGATGCTCCAGAATATACTCCGTTGTCCTGTTATATTTTGGATAGCAACGAGTTTATTAAACTCCACCGAAACAATCTGCAAATTTCATTAAAATTTAAGAAACTATCATCACGTCTTTATTTTTAGTTAGCACATACCTTAAACACTTAAAGCTGTAAGCTAATGATAGTTATATAAGAGCAGATGCATGCTGGTGCAATAAGCTGTACGTTTGACGTCCAATGAATGCATGATCTGATTAGTCAACTAATCGCAAAAATAATCGGTGACTAGTCGACTATCAAAACAATCGTTTGTGGCAGCCCTAGTGGGCATGCCAACACTCTCGGTTGGTCATGGCATTTGAGGTGTGTGGCGGCATGTGTGTGCATCAGAATCTGAACACAGATAAGTTTCAGTTTCCTTTAGTCACGTTCGCCCACACACTCCCTCTGTTTATAAAACTCATGATGCCTTCACTGGTGTCCGAGTCAGACAGGCTTAACTTTTTTTTTTTTTTTTAAAGGCAACCATTTTCAGTTAATGGTTTTTATTCTTAGATTCTTCTGAGTAACTCTGCATGACCCTCAGTTCATAATAATCTTTCTTTGTCTAACACGAGCCTCTGTGAAGCTCATTAGTCCAAAATAAGATGCTTTAGCCCCTCCCCCTTTGGGAAAACTTCTTCCGTTTGGCAGGTGGGTGAGAGCGTATGCCCTCTCTGACATCATACCAATCAAAGTGTAAAACAAAACAAAACTGAAATCTACTAAACTGATACCTGAACTTCTGAATGACACATTTTGCCTCATTTACAGTTACTCTGCTCTGATCAGCTGACCAAACAAAGCACCCGTCGTACCGCAGGTGTACAAGTTTTTATGTTTCTGATGCTAATAAGATGACCACGTGAACGCCTTTAAAACCTGAAATACAGGTCCCACTCCACCCATGTTGCTATGGTTACAGACCTGGAGTGAGACTAACGAGAGTCCTTTCAATGAGACAGCCTCAACTGTCAGGTAACGGAGTGATATAACAACACATGCTGACATTACAAATAACAGAAAGTCATCATTGTGCTCCTGGGCACAGACTCAAACTGCTTCTTTTAAACACAAATCTACGTCCCACCCTCTGACCTTCGTAACTAACAGTGACACTGCTGAAACTCTTGGGACGGTCATGGCCACTCTGTGCATTTTTTCTGAGAGAAAAGGACTGTTTCCAAATATTTACGGGGTGATTCATCCTGGAATTTTTTGACTCAGCCTTTGCCACAAAATTCCGGACTATGGGCCCCATTTCTGTCGGCCTGCAAGTGTTTTAAGGGGAGAAATCCTGACTTCACAGAGTAACCACTTTAAACAGGTTCACTGGAGTTTGGTTTGTCCACAGTCAGCTGTTCAGGAACCAGCCCGACGTCTGATATCAGGCTGGCCAACATACTCTAGGTGAAACCATCCACAGCTCGCTTTCTACTTTTAGATCACTGACGATGTGACAGCCCTACAGCTTCTGCTCCATCATCATCATTATTACCATTATTGTTATTATTATTGTTATTATTATTGTTATTATTGCAGATGAATTGCTTTTTTGGGCAAAAAATGCTTGACTTTTTTTTTTTAAATCAGCAGTGGTGAAAAATGTACCATTTTTAAATGGGTGATATCACTGTGTGATAAACAGAGTTTTATTGTTTGGTTTAAATATGACAAAGAGCAACATGACATGCAATTACTGTATGTTCTCTGACACCACATACATGACACAGGAAGGAAGGAGGGAAGGACAACTAAATGTTTGTGTGACAGCCAATTAGAATACGATGCTCAGAACCCACAGGAAAGGCTTCGAGCACAGAACACTTTCAGGTGCTGCTCCTGCTCGTTAACTGACGGACAGAAAAACGCTCAGAGGATGCGATTACACTGAAACATCAGTTCCTCTCTGACTCAGACTCTTATCAGCCAATGTGTTGTGAAAACACTCAGTTTCACTCAAGACTTCTACACGCACACTCGGTGACATCAGGGGGAGCCAGTTGTAGCCCCGCCTCCTCCCAGCCTTTGCTGAGCAAGGCATTTCCTAACAGCGGGAGTTTCCTCTGTGATGAGTCAGCAGTTGGGGGGGGGGGCTGGGTTCTGCTCACACTGAGTCACCTCTCAGGGCTTTCGGGCCGCCTCACATTAATGTATGAGGAAATATGAGAACACACACCCCGAGCCTCTACCGCAGCGTCACACCTTATTGATCCTGCATGTAAGCGATCAGCTGCAGGAAACTTCTAAGTGGCTAAAACCTCCTCTTCATTTCATCTAACCAGAAAACGGCTGACTGACAGGAAAACAAAAACTACACTGCTGTTTGTTCTCAGGAAGCTCATCTGATCTAAACCCTTCAAAAATCTTTCAGAAGAACAAATTTATTCCATCATCCACAGGCATTTTTAATTCAGCTCGAAATTACTGCAGAAAATGCAAATGGTCAAAGGTCAGAGCTGAGAGGTGCCTGGATTTTCAGAGGCACTGAACAGAGAAGTTTGTCAAAGCGACCACAGGCAAACTTAGGGGAAACACGTCACATGACCACACAGCAACGCCACAACACACACACAAACACTCGAGTGCAAGCGGCTTCACTGATCAGCAGCTTGTCATGGTCTCATGTTATTGATTTGGAATTTATCAATGGCGGTGATTAGAACAGACTGATTAACTGGGGTATTACACCTAGTGAGTGATTTCAGAGGGGGTGAGGCTTGAAACACTGGCTCATTCTCAGCGCCTTAATCAATAAACTGATCAGCTGGGTATACTGTCTTTCAGCCACACCCGCCCATCATGAAGAAGCAGCTGTTATCCCAAAAGAATTTGTTTCACACCTGTAGGCTTCTTCCAGTTACTTCATTTCACAATAAATGTCCTTGTTTTATGTACTGCTGATTGGCAGATTTCATGATGTAACAAAAAACAAGGTTTCTAAAAGAAAAAATACAGTGAATCATTCATTCATTAAATGTTGGAAACAAGTTCTTTAAAAAAAAATCTTACTAAAAAGAGTTGGACTTAACTGCGTTTTTGGTGTTAAACACCAATTAAAATAATGTTTGCAGGGATCTAATGAACATGTCAGGAAGTGATGCAGTCCCTGGCTAACTATGCTTATAAAAACGTGTGGAATGACACTGGTGGATGAATAAAGACTCTTCAGTATCAGTGCTGTTGTCTCTTGTTTGGACCCTCCAGCTGCTTATGTTGATTTTTATGAAACCTGTGGGTGTGCTCACTCACCAGGGTGCTGCTCCTGCTCTGCTCCCCCGTCGTCACCCCGCTCTCCCCGTGCTCCCCGCCGGTTCCTCCTCCGCCTCCGGGCGCTCTCTGCCCGGCCTGATCGCCGCTGGGCTGGTGCTGCCGGTGCTTGTTGGACCGCTTGGCTTTTGACTGCAGGCAGCGCTGGTGCAGGGCGTAGGTCTGTTGCCGGTCCATCTCCTGCCGCTCCATCATCGCGGCCAAGTAGCGCTCCTCGCAGTTGTTGTGATGCTGCCGGAACTGCTCGATCCTCCGGCGGAGCCGCTCCATCACCTCGCTGCGTCGCGGTGTAACAAAATCCGCCATCATCAATAAAGCCTTGCAGTAAACTCCCGGCTCAGGTTTCGTCCATATATTGCTGAATCTGGCGTCTACACCCCCCCTCACTCTTTACAAAGACTCCGGTGCTGGCTCCATGGAGGCGGCCTTTGTGCTGCTAACGGCCTTCAGTCACACTCACTGCCGGAGAGGAGAGGTCAGGTTTTTGGGGGCAGCACCATCTAGCCTCCTCGTCTACCTGGTCTTGTGTACAACAGCTCGTTTAATTAGCTGTGTAAAGCTACCGGAGTCCTGCTAGAGCCTCTCTGGTCCTCCCTTTACTCCCCGAGCTGCCCCTGCCCTTTGCTCCTGATCATTTATACCCCAGTCTGAGAGACAGGCTGCTGCCTTCAAACTCACTCCCGCTGGGCTAACTTCGGCTAGCGCATTCCTCCACTCTAAATCAAAGTAGGAGCCTAAAATCCTCCCACCCCCACCCCCAGAAAATGAGTTAAGCAGAACCTGGTCTGGAGCTAGCCTCCGTCTCCTCGTCCACCTGCCCGTTACCGGCGGTGCTCCGCTCCCGACAGCCTCCTAACGGCTCCACAACTCCCCTCAAACTTTATTCTCCTCGGCTGATGGAGGTTAGCTCGGGTAGCATGGGATTAGCTGGCTGGCTAACAACTTGTCAGCTAATGGAAATAAAACTTCACGCGCTTGAAAACAAACTGCCAGACTTTCAGGACATCTGAAGCACAGTTAGAGTTAAAGTCACTTACTGTGAGAGTGCTGCTGTCCGCTCTCCTACAGCATCTGTCCCAGCATCTGTCCTCCGAACAGCTGATCCTCCCGCTAGCCGTTAGCCGCTAGCTACTAACGCTGTTTGGGGTTCGGCTAGCTAGCAAGATAGCTAGCCTGAAACGTTTAAATGAACCATCATACTTTAAAACTATCTCCCCAGAGTTACACCCAAGGATAATCTTTCCCTCGGCTGAGCCCACGTCCGAGATGAACTGTTTGGGAGCGAATTCCTGGGAAACAGTGGGATAAGAGTCCCTCTGCGCCTCTTCTATTGTTTTCCAAAGAACAAGTTACACCGCCGCCATCTTGAAAACTTTCTCTTTTTCCCCTCCTTCATCTGCGTTACAGGAATGTCCCCGCCTTTTCCGGTGACGGACAGTAGAAACAGCCAATCAGAAGATGAGACTGAGTGTTTAAATCAATGACTGTAGAACAATACATAATAAACACACACGCGCACAGAGTGTACGATCGGTAAATCTGTTCAAGGGAGGGTTACTGGGTTATTGTACCACAAAAAAACAAACAAAAAGAAACCCAAAACAAATAAACTCAAATAAATTCACTTTTTGAATATTAATTTAACATGAATATAATTTTTTTAAATTATGAAAACCACTGGCAGCTAATTTTACTGGCAGCAGGTTAAACACTCATCAGCAGTTTGACCGCCACAATAAAGATTATTTGGGGTCATTAGCGGCCCCTGAAGGACACTACTGGGGCCAGTATTCCTGCCTCCCCCCTCAGAAAAAAATAAATAAATTAATTAATTAATTAATAAATCATAGATTAGGAAAAATACAAAAATAAATACATTAATTAATACTATGCAAGAGTTACATAGAAATTAACATAGAAAAAGAAACCAAAAAATAGAAAAAACCAAGGTTGGACATACAAAAATACATTAAACTATAAATTAGAAAGAATAATATAGATATATAGCCCTAGTGAGAAATGGCACGCAGGGGTAAGTATACTTGTAGAGGGTGTCTGGTTCAGTGGTCATAGGATCTAATCTCTGCTTTTTTGCACATGATGTGATTCTATCAGCTTCATGAAGTGGTATCCCCCAGCTCGCAGCCGTGGAAACGAGAATTAGCGTTATTCAAGAGTAGCTTTGCATGATTTACGGTTCATAATAATCCTTCATCTCATACCAGGACTGCCCTGCAGTTCAGCCTCAGTTTGACACAAACTGACTTTATGATTGGCTGCTTTAAGAGAAGACAAATGTTAGATTCATAAGAAAAAATGGGGCTAAGTTTACATGAAAAAAAGTGGGGGGGAAAGTTAATTTGAGGGGAAAAAGTTAATTTCAAATAGATGAAAATACTGTTAGAGATGGCATGTTTATTTATGAGCTAAAAGAAGAAAAGCACAATAGTAAATAACCACGCTGCTGCCTCTGCTTCTGTTTCCATTTGATGTTTTTATTAATCAAATCGAGTGTTGACCACGTGTCCGCACACACATAAACACAGAGCAGGCTCCATTATCACAGTATTTCCATTGAAAGCTGGAGCTTCCTGTCAGCAGGTCCACTCAGCGTGGATGTGGGGACGGCGGCCGGGCCAACCGTTAGTACAAACACAGAACAAAATAAAAAGCAGAGTTACAGAGGCAGAGTCTCCCCCGCAGGTACAGTGTTCAGTCTACAGTCTGTTAGCGAGGCAGCTTCAACAACGCCGTGAACAACGCCATCGTGCCTAAACAACAGCATCTTCACGGCCACTACAAGCAGCAGAGCCAGCAAAATCATCCTACGAGGAAGAGGAGATGGTCACCTGACACAAACTTTCAACACTTGCCATAAACCACCAGGCAATCACAAGCAGCCTGTCCCGACTGAAAAAAGGATCTGGCTCAGGATTCACACTGGAATCATTTTCCACCTGCTGATCGCTTCAGTTTCACCTCAGACGGGAAAAAAAACAAAAGAAAAACAAAAGGTCCTGCAGGAAGATTAGCACATAAACAGGTGATCAAGGGTTTGAGAGCATCAATAAGTTTCACAGATATTTGAAATCATTGTTACCTGCCAGGCACTTTTATTTTGGCAGTGGAAAGGAAAATATCAAAAGAGTGAAGGTTAAAGTCTGTAAAATTCAGATTTGACTGAATGAACAATAACGATTTATAATCAGAATAGTCAAAAATTACAGCAAATGATTTGATTTGAAGCATTATTAGTGAGAAAATAAATCCGGGTTGTTCTGTGATTCCCATTGATCCACCCAAACTCTGATAATCAAACCAAAGATGGAGTTTCTCCTTCTTTATGAAGTTTGATTTTCCACCAACAGCATTACCTCTGACACCTGCTTCATATAAGATGACTTCAGGCTCAAAAGAGAATCAAGTTAGAAAATGAAAAACAACTTTTAAATTTATTGATTTTGTGGCCCACCAGAGGGCTGCAGACGGGACACTGTAACAGCGCGTTACACGACCAGTCAGAGTTTATATGCTGATCACTGGTTTTACCAGTTTAAGAACGATGGTTGTTTTTTGGTAAGTTATCGCAGACAGATGAAAAATAAGTCTCACTCTATGAATAAATAACTTTTTTGCGCTACACGGCAGGACTTAAAACTGTTGGTTGGACGGCCACCAGGCATTTTCCCAGCCTGATGCTGAGGTCACGTGATTATCTTCCAGGGGTATTGGTTCTGAATTTGGCCCCACCTGTGGTCATACATGGCAACTGCTTCAGCTCACAAGATCCACTTACTCACACCACCTGACCTTTGAGCCACGCCTATGCTCCACACCCTGAAAACGACCACCAGGCGGGTTGACTCTACAGGTGGACAGCTGAGGTGTTAAGTACCTCATTGTGGTAGTGTTTTTGTGTTGTCCAAATGTTCAGAGAGCGCCACTGTTATAACAAAAAAACAACAAACAAAAAAAACAACTTAATTTTAAAGATTTTTTGTGTGTGTATGAGCTGAACCTTCATTCACACAACGATCATACCAGAGATCAGCTGACTGTTGCACGTACGTGACCTTTGACCTTTTAAAAAAAAATTAGACGAGCTAACATATGCTAACATTTACATAAGAAAAACAAAGACGAAAAATGGAAGAAAAGGTGTTACCAGTTTATTATTTCAGACGTTAGCATGACTGATAGCTAATCAATGAACTCCACAAGCTGTTAGCAGCTAGCTGCTGTAAGCATTGGTGGGCTGACTGTGTTATAGCGCCACACAGTTCACTAGCTTTACTAGCACCTAGCTAACACCAGGTTTGAGGAGGGTGAAGAAACAGCCTAGTAGTTTCTGGATAACATCCCCAGCTCGACCGATTAGCCAGCAGGAAACTGTGGTTGTTAGTAGGATAACCACCAACAGGCTGATTTACTGTAATAAACAAGCTGTTAGCTTATAAGTTTGCTAACACAGGTACGGTTGCTAAGTTTCTTGTAGCATTCATTAGCAGCCTGGTGGATCAAATTTAAAAACAAAACCCAAGCAATGATGGCAAGCTGATCCCAAAGCTAATTAGCAGCATGTTGGTAAGCTAATTGGGCTTTTTCGATGCTTACTCACTGACTGTTGGTAACGGTTAGTCTAGCTAGCAAGTTACATTGTGTTAGCTAGATGACGACATATTGGATTAGCCAACTGTTTATAAGCTCTTTAAGGAATGAGGAAGACTTCCGGTTAATCAAAAGATTTTAAAGTCATCCTGACTGTTGGTGTCGTGTCAGCAGGTGCTTTCACCCAGACTGCCACGACACAAGGCAGCAGGATCACGGTGGCTCAAGCAGGGTGATGCTGGGCTAAGCCCCTCCAGGGACCGATTTAGAGTGTTCTCATTGGCTGTTTAACACCCTGGTTACCTGGAGACTGTTTGACCTGACTTATGTTTTGGCTGCTGGAAGGCTAGAGACTGCTGGAAGCTCAACAAAAACAGCCTCAAGCGGGCTCTGAGGGTGGCAATGGCGGTGGACAGGATGTTGGTCCTGCAGGTTCGAGTGTTCAGGTGTTGTGAAGGAATGATGCAGCAAGTTTTAGTAAATCTCTTTGAAAAACAAAAATCCTTTGAATCTAACTCGGTACTGTTCATACACATAATCATTATTATCATCATCATCATCATCATCATCATCATCATCAGGTGTCCATGTTGGAGGTCTTGATTAGTTTCCCGTTGCTGCTTCCACTGGTTCCATTCAGGCCTCATCGCCTCAGAGTGGACGGGAAGAAGAATGAGGAGGAGGAGGAAGGGGAGTGGGGATGAAGAGGGTGAGCTGTTGAGGTCAGGGTTGCAGTCAGATTTCACTCCTTCCTGGGCTTCCTGCTCCTTGGAGATCTCCGCAGAACATCGTCCTCGAGCTTCTGCAGAGGAAACGAAGGCAAGATGACGAGTCAGTTTAAGTCAGAGAAGAAGCTCGATGTTACTCGCTCAAATCAAATCATCTGAAACAGACTGCACAGCCTCAGACGGAAAATTCGATTCAGTTTTATTCATACAGCGCCAAATCACAACAACCGTCACTTCAAAGCGTTTTATACTGTAAAAACCCTACAACAGGGGTGTCAAACATACGGCCTGTGGGCCACAGTCAGCCCAGGAAAGACTCCAGTCCTACGCAATACGCAGCTTTGGAAAAATGAGGAGGGTTTTAAATGTTTTGCAGCTTCACCTACTGATAAAGACCTCTCTCCACCCCCCATGACCATTCATACTACAGCAAAGTAATTACGTAATAGATGATCAATGACATGACAGAAAAGCTGTGTTTACAATCTACTGTAGAAAATTCAGGGTTTTTTTCCCCCCAAAATCTACAGGTTAAAAAAGAAAAAGGCTATTTTCTGTTAACAAGAACCCCTTTATTAAAAAAAAAATTTACACACCATTTAAAATGTAAATAATTTATTTACTACAGCAGCACCTGTTAATCATGTAGAAAAACTAAGAAATACTCATCAAATTGCTCCTCTTTTTCTAATATTCTGATATCTGACGGATTAAATGTGTAGTTAAACTTCTTTATAATAACACCTGTTTGGATCTCTCTCTCTCCCAAATATGGGGCAAATCAACTTGTGTGTAAAATGTTTTCAGCTGGGCGTCGTGTAAAGCCTGTTCTAACGTTTGAGTCTAAGGTTTATTTTGTGCACCTGACGGCTCTTTTTTGCTTCTCACCCGTAAACTCTCTCCACACACAGTCACATGATTCTTGTGTAGGTGGTAGAAGAGGTTTGTTGTGTTTGAGTCTGTGGTGGGGACTGGACTGCATTATACGGTTTCTGGTCAGTGTCAGACTTTTCATAACCAAACCATGTCCATGCTAAAGAGGTAGCCCCTCGTTTAGGAATAAGGTCCTGGATTTGCTTTGACTGGTCTTTCTGTTTGTCATCATTTAGGTTTATTTGGACAAATCTCAACAGGATATTGAGCTTTATTGTGAAAAGTTTGTGGAAAATAAACAAACGGACAGTGGAGCCACACGTTGGGTTTATCGTCATTGTTGCTAACGACAACAGGTAAAAACAGTTGCTTGTCTGTCCGTAGTGTGGTTATTTTAACTATAAGAGAACTTTATGAAATTAATATAGCCAATACAGTGACCCTCAAAACCATGAAACAAATATTGCAGTAAGCAGTTTATTTTGCCACACCATGAAACAAACAATAGTGTAATATGAAACGATAGACATTTTCATATCGCCATCCAATATATATACAGTGGGGCAAAAAAGTATTTAGTCAGCCACCGATTGTGCAAGTTCCCCCACCTAAAATGATGACAGAGGTCAGTAATTTGCACCAGAGGTA